CATCAGCGTGCCTAAAGTCATTAATGTCCACCGTGACCGCTTCTCTGTGATTTTAATTGAATCGATTATACTGTGTCATGAGGGAGGTTTTAATGTTAAAGCTATTTTGCGAAGGTGTTGAGCCACAAAGTCTCGGATTTTGCATTGTCGGTTTGTGTTTGACCAGTGCAGCTTGAGAAATAAGACCACATTAGCTCAGTAGTCACCCTCTAGCCAGAGACCGTTTCCTTTAAGCAGCCTGGATTTCCTTTCGACGACGGCACCAAAAAGGCCTGCATCCTCACTGAACCAGGTTGAGCCATGCTGCCCTTCCTCGGTGTCCCAGTGGGTAGGAAAGAGGCTTGACAGAAACCCTCCAGATCTCCTGGCCCCTATAAATTAGTCCTTATTCATCTCTGGTCCCATACCTAGGTCAGACATGAAGGCCTGTTATTCTACCCGTTAGAGCCGCAAGCAACACAGCGAGGACCCAGGAACTGGGTTAAGTCCACACACGGGGGCTCTGGCGCTGTTATTCTAAATGTTATATTTACAGAGGTCACCAGAGAATTCCTCTGGGTCACAGCCAAGAGCCAGCAAAACAGAGAGGCAGAGACGAGTGGAGCAAGGAGTGAGACGAGCCCAATGTTCTTTCTTTCTTTCTTTCTTTCTTAAATGTGATGATTCACTCTGTCTTTCCTTCTCTGAGGACTCTTCTTTTCCTCCTTTAGGGCACAGACATGCAGATTTTTGACCATTTCAGGCCAGTCACATGCTTCAGTTGTGGAAGTGCAGTTTATGAACACATTTCACCACATGCTGAGGAGTGCTTTGTGCAAAAAAAAAAAAAGACATGTTCAGATTTTGTGGCTCAGTTAAAGCTTTTTCACAGTTTTTTCTCCTTTTACTACATACTAAAGATAAAGATTTATTCTCCCACTCATTTAGACACAATCTTAAGTGCAACTTTGAGGCTTTTTTTTTAATCATTATTATTATTATTATTATTATCATTATTATTATTTTTTTGTGGAAGTTGGGATTCCTGTGACATCCCAGCATAAGACATAAGCTAATCCTATGAGAATGTACTGTATGTTTGTAACGTGACAATCTGTTAAGCGCTCTGTCATTAGGTTTGATATGGCTTTTTGTAATACTATAGTGGCTTGAATGGCTTTTTTTGCCCTGTATGTGTTCAGAGGAAAATAAAACTAACCAGGTTTCCTGTATTCTTAGTGCTCCATAACTACATCACAGGTTTTCCTCTGTTAAGCACAAAGTCTCTGCTTTCACTGCTTCTAACTACAGGACATCATCTAGAGACTTGTAACTTACTTGGGTGATGTTGGGTTTATAACCCTTGAAGTATCTTTGGACTCTTTAAGTCAGATGAACATTGTTCATTAAAATATTTTTGTCTGCATTTTGTGTTCTTCAAGGCAATTTTCTTTCTTTTTATCAATGTTAAAGTTGCATAAAACTGCAAACAGACACCAGAGGCAAACCATTTACTCAGCTCTAAGTACGTTAGCAGAGAAGGCCTTGACGTCTCAGGTGTACCCACAGGTTAAAAGACACCCTATTCTCATTTGACTTGCTGCCTCCTTTCTGACAGTGAAATATGGACTGTGTTTAAAGTTTCAAGGACTGGAAATATCCTCTCTTTTGAAAGGGCCCAAACATTTACGTCAGCAGCTCTGGATTGTATGCAATGCCGGGGCTGGGTTTAGGGTGTCAGTTTTTATGAGAAGGCCCAACAGTGTACATTGCCTCACCAAACATTTAGACAGTGCTCTGATTTGAAAGGTAGACTTTCACCTTTTATTCAGGTGCTCAAAATCATTCTAAAGTCACTTGTAGGTCATACACAAAGGTGGTAGTCACACAAATCCTGTATTCTATTTTTCCATTTGTCTTACTGTGTGGCAGGGGAGAAAGGCAGCAGCATGTCTGTGATACTATATAATTTGGCTTAATTCAGATATGGACACTCTGCAGTTCTGTGTGATTCGGCTTTGCACACTGTGCACTGCTGCATTTCTCAGTTGGTAGTGATAGGGATTAACCACTTGGTGGCGACATCTCTGCTTATTGACACAAAACTAACTGGAGGAAGCAGGTGATTGATTATTAAAAGTTGAGATTCTCAAAGGAAACTACAAATTGTTTTATAGATGAAAGAAATAAAGACAAAATATTTCCAGGTTTACATTTTACTTTGACATCGGCAGCATACAGAGAAGTTGTCATAAGGCCAGGATTAGAGTCTAAATGTCAAGAATGTGAATACAGCTTTAACCTCTTCATTAGCTTTAAGTTAATTTCTGACTTAAAACATGGATTTAAACCATCGTGAGTTTTTGTATGTCTGATACCAACCTCATTGATGTATCTTGTTTTTGCACTTTATTTATTTTTTATTCAAATAGGTATGTGTCTTTCGTTTTTTAATATAGGTTTCATTGCAAATCATAAAATGTCCCTTCTTTAGAAAGAAGAGTCACCTTCAGATCATTGCATGTTATATGTTAAACTTCTCCATATGTTCATATGTAGTTCATACCACACCCAAGAGGTAAGATGCTGGGCCACAGTGTGTTTCAAGAACAGGTCTAATGCACTGTGGTATTAATTCTGCCAGACTTCTATTTTTCCAGTTTTCTATTTTTCCATTTTCTTAACTGCTTATCCAAGTAAGATGTGGACAGTTTCCAGACTTTGTTTTTTGCCAGTGATAATATTGATGGTAGAGCATGCTGACTAATGTGTCAGTCCATAATTGTGACTCCAAAGGCCATTGCGCCATTTTCTTCATACTTATCAAACTATATGTTGAAACCTCTTATCATTCAGATTAAAAGAAAATGATTCCAGAAGCGATAACTCCCGTAATAACAGAAATGTTTCATCATAGTATAAAGACTGTCATTCAAAAGATTTCTTTTAACTGATTTGCAGTGAGGATTTCTTCAAAGGCAGGGGAGGGAAATTAATTTTCCCAAGGAGCCACATGGAAAAATTGGACTGTTGTGGAGGGTCACACCACTAAGCTTATAAATAATTTATATTGAGCATTTCAGCTTATTGGTGTGGCCCTCCAAAACAGACCCAGTTTCTCATGTGACCCCTTGGGAAGAGTAATTGCCCATCCCTGTTCTAAGGGGACAAGTGGACCCAAATCAAGTTAGTAGCGATCAAGGGGGTTTGTGTTTTTTCTTTCATTTGTCACATATCAGTATGTACAGTGAACATATTCCCTACTTTTGATTTTATATTTATGTGGCATATAAAACATTTCTGCTAGCATTAACTGTACGGTGTGGCGTCAAACAGGATTAGAGAGCATGAGAGAGATTATGCGGTGCCACGCTAAGCTTTTTACAACCATGCTTTGAGTCAGAGATGGATGACCTCCTGGACAAACAATGGGCTGCTGACTGGACCAGAAATCTCCCAGCTTTCATGGTTGGTATGGCAACTGAGCTCTGTCAATATTGAAGCGACAGTCATATCTCAGACAAGACTGAACAGAAGCAAGAGAGGATGTGCCTCCGAGCTGCGAAACCTGAGAAAGCTGGTTCCAGGCGCTTTGTGAACGTCTGCCCCGTGTGCTCCAATGTGAACTAATGAATAAATGACTGGGTGCCCAAGTTTCATGGATGAATCATTTAAGAACCATCTGGGGTTAAAGTGTGCACACCACCTCCTTCTACTGTTGGGTTTAAAAAGACAGATGTCCTGTATGTGTGTGCTACAGCTGTCAAACACACCAATCTATTTTCTGAGCTGCATGAAACACATGAAACCTCTGCAGCAAGGCCTACTCTCATTTGGAAATATTCAATACACTTTCAATTCGATGCAATTCACTTTACCTAAATTTAATTCAGGTCAGTTTTTTTATATAACAGTAATTCAGAACAACAGTTATCTTGAGGCAGTTAGAAATTGTGGTCGCTGGCCTTAACTTTGAAGAAAATACATGCTTTACTAATAAACATTCGGCAGACTGGTCGGGCCAGGACAGAAATGAGCCAGAAATACCTGAAAAAGTTCCAGGGAAAGAAAGGATAGAGAGGACAAAGACCAACAAGAGAGGACACAAAGATAACTGCATGTAATAGTAATGTGGAAATAGCATATGAGGCCTGAGTTATACCAGCATACCTAAGGGATCATCCAGGGTCATCTGAGCCGACCTAAACTATAATGTTTACCAAATAACACAACTCTAAGCCTAATCGGAGGTGCCTCATAGCTGAAGGCTCCACCTCTTCTTATACTGTCAATACAGAGCATGTTGCTCTCCAGACAGAAAAAATGATACCATTTATATTGCTTGACCTCTTGATGGGCACAATGGCGTAGCAGATGGTTGCACAAAATGTGCAGCATACATTAAAACACACAAATAATATAACATTAATATAATGCTGAACTAATAACACTCGGATCAGCTGCCTGTTATTTTTCACAAGACTCCAAAAGCTCAACCCACAATGCAGTGTTGTTAAACCAACCCAACAGGCCCTGCAGGACATGGTTGGGAAGAAGTGATGTGTGTCACTACTGTTAGCACTTACAAATGAAGGGTGGGTCTGCCTTGGGGGTTTAGGAACACTGTAAAGGCAAACATTAACTTGTAATCTGGTTGGAAAGGAAGTGAAATGAAGTAGTTATGTCTGCTTGTTTGGATACTATTATAAAAACCATTAAGGTTATGAATGTAAGCACACGTGTTCTTAAAAAAACAAGCCCTGTTTTTCTTGAGTAGGTTTAGCCTAAACAAAAGTAATTTTACTACCACAAGTGTAATGTATATGCTGTGCAAACAAGTGCACTCCTTTTGAACAGGACAACCTTTCATCTCTTGTTGAATGGCCATTTAATGAATCAGCTTCTCCAGAGGGAAATTAAACAACTATGTAAACTTTTGGTTTGCAGGAGGATAATGGGTGTAGAAGATGACATTCTTGTGTAAAAATGTGATCTAGTAAGTGAAGGTATGATATGATGGCATGATCAGAGGACAACTGGCCAAAGTGAAATGAATGAACCTCTCAAGCTCGATTACATTCTGAAAATAGCAGCAGCTTATTTTAACGAGATTGCTATGCGGGACTATGCTGTGGATAGGGATTGTAGCAGATCAATAAAATCTCCCTACTATCTATCTATTGCTACCAAAGTACGCTGCTTTTCAGGGCCAATATAATACTAAAAACATTTGCTTAGCCAAATAATCTCATCTGCATTTGAAAAAGGTGGTTGCAAATACTGGCTTTTTACTCTAAAAGCCTAAAAGTCACTGAAATTATTAATATGTTTTTTTAACTCTTCCATTGTGGTTTAGACAGAAAAAATATACAGATAATTTTCCTTATATAAAATACTTTTCCCTACAATTTCAAGACATCCTTATTTGGGACTAGAGCGTCTTGGGTGTATCTGCCATTCATCGAGAAGGCGTATGATGGGTGGTTCCTCTTAGCAATTAGCCAATCAGCTAATAGAGCTAGGGTTGTTTAGGCGGGGCTACGGAGGGAAATCCTGACACACACTGGCTAGCTGTTGGAGCTAGGGGCAGGGCTTGTAGACGGAAGTGTCTCCCGACTGGTCCAGCTGTCATCTAGAAGAGAGTGGAGACCATTTACACCGGCTGCATAGGAAATGCAGAAAAAGGAAAAAACGCTAAAATATGGCAACATCTAAACGATAAGGTCATGTCGCCGAACTGAAGGTAGCTATGCCCGACATGTCGACGCTTACACACGTCTGTCGTTACGTTGGAGTAGGTGTCGAAATTGCGTCACGGTATTTCGGGATGTAGAAATGATGACAAGGATTGGTAGGCTGTGTGACATTGAACATACAGGACACGAAACAGACGAGGTCGTTTAAAGAGCCACACACCGGTTCCAACATGTCACGTCGCGAAAAACTCTGAGGTTTTTGACGCTAACGGAAATTCGAGGAGACGTTGCAGCGAATGAACTGGTTTATTGCTTTCTGGCTGCTGTGCCAGTATGCTACAACGTCTCTGCGGTTATCGGCTATTATCCTAGCCTAGCGGCTCGGTGAAGGGAACTACCCTAGATTCAGAACAGACTGGAGACGTCATCAACATTTTCCTGTATTTAAGTGGTTGCTTATCGGGAGGTCATTGCTTGGAAAAGGGAGATCATTCGGTAGGTGTTCGTGGTGTTGGTCACCGTGACTCTTGAGCGTTCGTGGTTAGCCTGCAATGCATAAACGTACTTTAAAAGTGACTGCATGATTAATGGGGCACATGGAAGGTGGCGGAGCAGCTGTTAGCTTGCTGCTAGCTGCGTAACGACCTTTTGGAGACGTCAGCTTCACAAGCTTAGACTGTTAGCTGCCTGCGCTTGTTTTTCCGTGGTTGCCTTCCTGCTTTAGTGTTATATTTCATCTGAGGCCTCCCATAGCCAAGCGAGTCAATGATTTAATCTCATTGATTGCATCACAAGACCAGGCAGGGTGCAGCCCAAGCACATCTACTGCGTTTGCAAGGCTGTGTGTGTGTTTTTTTTCTTATTTTCTAGGTGCCAACTCTAACAATCTTTTGAAATTTTGTCATACATTTTCTACCACATTTTAGGATAAAGAAGACGGAGTAAGTCAAAAGTGAGCTTAAGATTTACTGGGTGTCCTAAATGGGGGACTACGGGTTTGGAGTTCTGGTGAAGAACGGCAGTGGCAACAAATCTACTTTCCCTGTAAGGATCCCTCCTCACCTGCAACCCCAGCACTCTCACCACCCTTCCAACCCCCCCAGCCCCCCTTCCTTTGTAAACAACACCTGCTCTACCAATGGGGGAAGTGCTTGGCTGTTCCCTGCAGTAACCCCGCACACTAACATGCAAGATGAGATTCTGGAGTCAGAAAAGTCCAAGGCCTTGGACCTCCAGGATATGCAGGAGAAATCTCAGGTCCAGGCCCAGCCTCAGGCCCTGTCTCCAGGCCAGCAGGAGGCCGGTGGAGGCTTAGGAGAGCTTGAGGGAGCTCTACCTGACGACGGCTCCCTGGAGAAGGGTACTTTGGAGAGCAGTGCTGGCAAGGAGAAGCTGAGGATGGAGTCTCCGGTGCTAAGTGGCTTTGACTACCAGGACACCCTGGGAATGGGTACAAGCTGTGCACAATCCACTTCTTCCTCATCTTCTCTGACCAGCTTCAACAACTGGTCTCCTGCTGTCCCATCTACCCAGTCTCCTGTGGTTGGGGAAGACGTTGGAGGTTTCTTTGGTCCCGCTGGCTCCAATGCTAATGGACCACATTTGCTGTTCCACAACTTCTCCCACCATGCTGGCCCTGGCTTTGGAGCAGGAGGTAGTTTCTCCCCACAGATTGGGCCAGTCTCCCAGCATCACCCTCCCACACCTCACCCTCAGCACTACCATCCCCAGGGACAAGGGGTTCCACAGCAGCACAGGCGCTCCCCAGCTAGCCCTCATCAACCCCAGCCTTCCTTCCCTCCACATCCCCATCGCACTGGACCATTTACACAGCTGCCCCACCTTGCTCCTACCCAGAACAAACCTCCCTCCCCTTGGGGAAGCTACCAGAGCCCCTCCACTCCCACATCCACCTCGTGGAGCCCAGGTGGGTATGGTGGCTGGGGAGGTACACAGGGGATTCGGGATTACCGACGGGGTGTCGGCGGCGGGATGTCAGGCCTGAACTCTATTTCGCCACTGAAGAAGTCCTTCCCTAACAATCAGGTAGACAGAGCTGTCATGGTTAATCTCATACTATGTATATTCATAGTAGATATTTGCATTTGCTGATATAAAAGAGACTTGTCATACAATTATTAACATTTTCTCCAGGTTCCTTTGCAAAAGTTCCCCAGAAATAGCTCTGGCATCAACCACAAGGGCTGGGTGGAGGACAGCATGAGCCGCAATGACAGTGTTTATCCTTTCCAGGTAGGCATACAGGCTAAAATAAAACACAGGCTGTTGTTAAGGGAATTACTCAATATCTAAATTAAGTAAGTTCAGTAGGTATTGTGAGAAATGATGAACAGATATGGACTGTGATTGTATATGTGCTTTGTGTATTTTTAACAGACTAATTAAGTATGTAATCCTGTCATACTTGCTTAACTGTATCAAATGTAACAGATGAACCATTGAGCAAAACGGGAGATGTGACAGGCAAGCCAGCTAAACAGATGACTTCAAACTTATTGTGTACTGAGATCTTATCTAGATCATTTGGTTAAAAGAGCTGTCTCATCATCTGGTTAATCACATGGGTTTCCTACTGTCCTGATTCGAGTTGTCTTGCGCTCTGCTGCAGCTTTAAACACACTTGATATGCTTTTATATAAAGTGACACACTTTTACTTATGTAGTCTTTATCACCAGTTGTGTGTTGCTCACAGATTTTCTTTGTTTTTAGAATTTTTAAAAATCCAACTCTCCTCAGTTTTGGTTAGAATTTGTATTGATTGCAATGTGGTAAAACCGAAAGTAGCTTTTTTTTTTTTTTCTCTCTCTCTCACCGGCTCATTTTATGCAGTGTGTCTTCCTATCAGATGCTATCAGATTCAGTGGAAAGATGTCACATTACAAGCGAATGCAGATGACTTTGTAACATACTTTGTTTGTCTCCATTTTCTGTTTAGTGCTCTGTGCTGGATGTCACCACAGGGAAAAATGAATTTTTATTTCTCCTTTTAATACTTATTAGCATCATGGGTATCTCACAGCTTATACTGCTTTAGATGGTGATTTTGGGACGTGAGGAAGCTAATTGTTGTTTTCCCCTCCTTTCAGCAGGAGAGAACACGGTCCTTTGATGGTTTCAGTATGCAATCTCTGGAGAACTCTCTGATTGACATTATGAGGGCTGAGCAGGATTCCTTAAAAGGTTGGTTCCCACACTAACAACAGTGAGACCTAGCTAGATTTTCTCATTGCTGGCTGTAAATAAATGTATTCAGAAATCTGTGTTTATTCGACACGTAGGAATTTTTTCCATATCCCCTGCAGGACTTGAGTAGCAAAATGCATATGTAATTGCATATGTTATGTTTGAATGTTTCTCTTGCAGCATTGTGCTTTGATGTTAATGGCACTACCCACAAATATTATTCAGCTTTATTAAATCCGTGCTTGCTGCAGGCAAACCGTTGCATTAGTGGGTTTGGATATTATTGACCTTTCCAATATGGATGCCTATATTATTTTCAATTCTTGGGTTGCAGTCAGACAGTCAAAACCCCCCAAAAAGTTAATGTAGCTTTCCCTGAACACTTTCCAACAACCTTAATGGAAAACATCAGGTCAAGGCAGGATGTGAAGGAAAATTCTTAAGGACAACCACGGTGCCAAGATAATCAGAGTGCACTTTAGACTAGCTGTGCAATTATGCAACCTTAATGTTGTCAATGTGGTTTTTCTATCGTGAAGCTAAAATCTTCCTAAAAAAGGTGGCCTACAAAAACCCATATCTGAAGATGCTTCACCTTATGTGACACAGTGTCATTTCGTGCAGGTTGTCCACCCTACGTATAAAAACCCAGTTTAAATAATTTGGGGTCAAAGGTGGAACCACTGCTTGCTGTGGCTGTGGGTGGAGCTGCTGCAAGAAATTTAACACTGATTTACAGGTGTTGCTCATGATTTTTCTATCCACTAAAACTACCCCAGCTTTACTCGTTGGTCATACCGATCGGGTGTTTTCATGAACCCTCGGCGCATTATCTCTTTCTTTTGTTAAAGATTGTTTCATGATTTATTTAGATTCATTCATTTATTTGTTTATCTTTTTTTTTTTTTTTTTTTTTTTTTTTTTTTTTTTTTTTTTTTTTTAAACCTTTGGCAGTTCAACACTTTTGTACCATTTCAACCTGTTCATTGGACTTGAACAACATAAATTGCAGTAAATAACAGAGAAATTTGGGTGTTCTAAACTTTTGACCAGTAATGTATTTCAAACACATAA